GAAGTATCAGGCGACAGCCCCATTTTGAGAACCGCCCGCATTCCGTCCTTGTAACTGTTGGAAATTCAATGGTTCAGGGTCATTAATTGCAAGGAAGTCTCAGGCGATAACACCATTTTGAGAACGGCCCGCTTTCCATCCTTGTAACTGTTGGAAATTCAATGTTTCAGGGTCATAAGATGCCAGGAAGTCTCAGGCGAGAGCTTCATTTTCAAAAGGAGCCGCCCTCCATCCCTGTGACTGTTGCAAACGTTTCAAACGAATGTCCGCGGAGCCAAGGCGAGGGCTTAATTTTGAAAACCATCTGTCCCCCATCCCTGTAAACGTTGCAAACTTTGAAGACGAATGTCCGCTGCGCCAGGGCTCAAATCCCCCACGCGTTCCCCGCCCGCCCTTTCTTCCCCCCCATGTGTTCAACGGCCCCACAGGTCCCATTTTGGTATCCTGGCATGATCATATCATTTCCATCGGTCGCCGTCGATGAGGAGGATTTTCGTGCAAATTGGAAGATTATCATGTGTGTCTGATCGTCGGTGTAATTACGACTACTATTACTACTACTACTACTACTACTACTACTACTACTACTACTACTACTACTACTACTACTACTACTACTACTACTACTACCAGTACTACTACTACTACTACTACCACTACTACTACCATTACTACTACTACGACTACTACTAATACTACTACTACTACGACTACCACTACTACTACGAATATTACGAATACTACTAATACTCCTTCTACGAATACTACTACTACTACTACTACTACTACTACTACTACTACTATTATTACTGCTACTACTACTACTACTACTACAACTACTATTACTATTACTACTACTACTACTACTAATGACTATCATACGACTTATCACTACACTACTACTACTACTTACTCTTATAATACTTACAATATATTTACTACTGTATACTACCACTACTACTAGTACTGCTACGACTGCTACTACAACTAGTACTACTACTACTACTACTACTACTACTACTACTACTACTACTACTACTACTACTACTACTACTACTACTACTACTACTACTACTATTGCTGTAGTCGTACTACGACAACAACAACACCAGCATCAACTACCATTTCCACAACAACATGAACATGAACTACTCTTACTACTATTACTACTATTACTACTACTACTACTACTACTACTACTACTACTACTACTACTATTACTACTGCAACTACTGCTATTACTACGACTACTACTAGGACTGCTACTACTACTACTACAACAACTACTACTACTACCACTACTACTACTACTACTACCACTACTACTACGACTACTACTACTACTACTACTACTACCATTACTACTACTACTACTACTACTACTACTACTAGTACGACTACTAGGACTACTACCACTACTACCACAACTCGTAGTAGTGCTACTACTATTACAATTTCTACAACTACTACTACTCTTACAACTACTAGTACTAATACTACTACCACTACTACTACTACTACTACTACTGCTACTACGACTACTACTACTACTACTACGGCTAGTAGAACTACTACTACTACTACTACTACTACTACTACTACTACTACTACTATTACTACGACTACTACGACTACTACTACTACTACTACTACTACTACCACTACTACTACGACTACCACTACCACTACTACTACTACTACTACTACTACTACTACTACTACTACTACTACTACTACTACTACTAGTATTACTACTACTATTACTACGTGGAAGAAGTTCCGAAGCTTTCGGTCAAGGGGGGGCGTTGTCGGGCCCCCTGGAAGTCCGAAGAGGTCTCCAAGAGGCTCAGAGATGTTTGCAAGAGGCCCCCATGAACTTCCAGGAGGTTCCCAAGAGGGCCACAGGAGGTCCAGCGGACCCACGTGTGTATGTATATCCAGTGCTGCCCATCCCGCCTCCGTGTCTGGATTGTGGGGACGAGGCCTATGGGAGGTTCGTTGGGTTCTCTTGGGAGGCTTCTCGCGGGAGTTTCGGAAGCAGTTTCGAGGTTTCTTGGGGCTTGTTTCCGGGAAGATGCGCGGATAAGAAAAACGTGGGTGACACCAGACTTGCGCACATTGTCATTCGTTGAAGCTCGCAATGGCTCTTGCATTGCTTGCGTTCGGTGAGGCGCGCGCGTGGAGCAGCCCAGCGGATCATGATGCCTGAGGGCCCAGATCACCGACGATATGGTGTTTCTCTCACGTTTTTTACATAACAGCTTGTCACCTAACAGCGAAGACTGATAGGTTTCTACAAGACTCAAAAGAGAGCAGCAGATGACTCCACAGGGGGGGGGTCTGGGCGGGTGCCGGACAGGGTGCCGCAGAACTCATTTTAAGCCAACAGTCACACACTTCGTGCTCTTCGACTTCCCAGAACTCCATTCCCGGGCTACATTCTGAATGCCCGGAGCCAACTGTAGGCCACTTCGTGCTCTTCGATTTCCCAGAACTCCAT